ACACACACACACACACACACACACACACACACACACACACACACACATCTTAAAGAAGGAAAGGCCGTAAAGTAATTCACTTGAGGGCTAGGAAGATAAAATCTTCAACTTTAACTATGATGATTTGAAAATTAGAGCAGTATCTAATGAGGGAGCTTCAGCAGCCAGGTCTATGAGTTTACTATCACTGTAGCAAAAAACCATGATCAAGAAAACTTACAAAATGTAGCATTCAATTGGGTCTTGCTTAAATGGTCATCATGGCAAGGAACATGGCATCAGGCAGGCAAGGTGGTTAGAGCAGCAGATTGCATGTTGAGACAACAACCATAAGGAAAAGAGAGAGAGAGAGAGAGAGAGAGAGAGAGAGAGAGAGAGAGAGAGAGAGAGAGAAGTGTGGGCTCTTGAAAACCCAGTGACTTACCTCTTCCATCTAGGCCACACCTCCTAGCCCTCCCAATCAGTTCCATCAACTTTGAACCAAATATTCAAACATATGAGTTTATGAAGAACATCCTCATTGACATCACCATAACTAGAAGACCACAAGTACCTATTTGGGGATTGTCAACATGGAAAACATAGAAGTAGATTAGTTTTTAGAGAAATTGAATATAGAGTAAAATCTTTGTAAATAGACAACAATTGAATCAGTGAAGGAAATGAGAAAATCGTCACCAAAGGAATCATCTGGTTCACAGTAGTGCCACAGAATTCAAGAGAGGAAATAACTGAAATATCATTAACTGGTTCAAATTATGTAAAGATTGAGAATAGTGAGAAAAATTCAATAGTTGAAGCCACAGATGGAGTCACCTTCCAAGAGAAATAGCTCAGTGGAGTAAGCAGAACCAATCTATTCTCATGTGTTTAACACGGGATTTGGTGGCAGTTCAGCCACAATGACAGGAGTTTTCTATTGACCATGCTTAGTAAAAAAAGAAGAGAAATTAAATAGAAGGTTGGAAAGTCAGTAGGATCAACAAAACCTACTGATGTATTTTTGAATGCGAGGTATATTTTTAATAAGTTTAGTGTTTAATAACAAGAATGCTTAACTTCCAATTCAGGATAGGGTTGAAACAGTGAAGGCGGTTAAGTTACAGGGCCAGAGAAGTTCTATGGCTTTTGGCTTAGAGGAGCGTCCTCCTAGGTCTAGAACCTGGTGGCTGGCATTGGGAAAGGGAGGTGGAGGTGCAGGAATCCGGAGGAATAGATGCAGTGCAGAGGAGATGGTTCAATTCCGGAGCAGAATCGTATCTGGAAACAGAGATTGCTCTACTTTTGTGCCATTGTGACAGTGACAATTTCTCAAAGACATGATTTAGGGGAAGAAAAAAATATTTTGATTCCTAGTTTCTGTCTATCAAGATAAGAAAGGTGTGGCAGTTCAGCTTAATTTATCGTAGCAAGAGCATAGCATTGAGGCTGTTCACATCATGGTAGACCAAAATGTAGAGAACCAGTTGGACAGAGCCCAGGGATAGCATATTCTAAAGACTCCCCACTCCCAGTCTCTAGTAACTTACTTCCTTCTCCTAGGCCCTGTCTTCCAAAGTTTATAGAACTTCTCCAAAAAGACCTACCAGCTGGGGTCAAATGCTCAGAACATGAGCCTGTGGAAGGCATTTCAGATTCTTCTGGTCGTGTGTAAAACACACGAGAAGCAACAGTTTAGGGGAGGAAAAGTTGATTTTAGCTCACAACTTCAGAGGTATCAGCCCATGGCCAGGTGACTCCATTGGTGATAAGGCAGAGCATCGTGGCAACAGAATATACAGGTAGGTAGGCAGCTGCTTTCCTCACGGCAACTGACAAACAGAGAGTAGAGGGCAAGTCTATATTGGTGGTCTCCCTCCTTCTGCTCTGGTTCCATATGGACTCCTAGCCATTGTGTTGTGGGACTTTGTTCCAATAAGCAAATGAATGGTATTGGGGTGACTTAGCCCTATGGGTGAGGTCTTCTCTGGGTATGTGACTGGGTAAGAACTGAGGACGAGGCTCACATGCCTTCTCTGGGACAGTGAAGGAACTGGCAGAGCTAAGTTTGGAGTTCCCCTTGGTTCCTCGGGAGCAAGGTTAAGGTGTAGCCGTGGAGAGCTGGTTCCCCAGCAGGATCGGTGGAGCAGCTGGGGCTGTGACCTGGACTTCTCCTTCTGTCTTGTAATCATTGTGCACGGATTTGATTTAATAAAGGTAAAACAGTCTTCAGAATTGCCTCTTCACCATTGGATGGTGCTGTCCACATTCTTGGAGTGTTTCTTCCTTACTTCATGTGCCACTTGCCTCTCGCCTCTATAAACACTGCTTCAAAAACTTCCCAAAGTGTTATTTCCTAATCTCCTGTGTCTCTCTCAACCTAATCACCATTGGACAACCAAAATTAACCACAGGAAGTGGGGACCAAATTTCTGCATTTACAGAAGATGCAGCTGAGGATGTCTAGGTCCTAGAGAAAACCCGTTTGCACTGTTTGAAAGAGCTGTAGTGTTGGCTTCCCATTTCTTCCAGCTGTAAGGAATCTCACGTCACCACTGCTGATCTCCAGGACTGGTTTGTAGACGAAGAATAATCATCACTTTACTCAAGGGTGTTGCTGGCCAGAGAGTTGAATAGCACACATTCTGGGGGAGTAGTTTTCTTCTTAGACAATTTCTTGAACTAATTCGACTGTTTAGCTAATAGGGGTAGAGAAATGCAGATCCTGGTATTCATTAGCCAGACCAGCTGGCTACCAAGCTAACAGGCCTGTGGCTATAGAAGCCAACCTCACTGAAATAAGATGGATTATACAGATAAACCTCTTTTCAACTTCATTTGCTGAAATGATGTCTTGGTCCTTTGAATTAGCTCTTGCAGATATATCAGATTGAATCATTTAATCTTCTCAGTCAATATTTCATCACAGTTTGCTTAAATGTTCTCTCCTTTGTGACTTGTTTGGGACTGCTGAGACAGTGGTACATATTGTGGTTCCTACATGTGAAAGCTTTTGCACTTTGTATTCAATATACTTCATTTTTTACCTGTAGAATAAGTCACAATACAGTAACTGAGGTGGAGAAAAATGGTCTACAATGCTGGGCATCTCTTTACTGAAGGAATTCAGGATGCTGAGACAAATAAAAAGTTGGGAGTTTGATGGAAAACTATTTATCTATATGCAAATATTGATTTTCTTCTCCAAAAATACATTTTTCTTTCACCGAAGTTTGAAGCTATGCCTCGTGTGACAGAGATGAATATGTATGTAGCGTGCATGTACATGTTATATATACACATGTCGGAATCCATTAACCATACTTAGAAAACATATGCACAAAGACAAAGGATGCCAGAGTTGATGGAGAGGGAGAAATATGTGAAAAAGGCTTTGAAATATTGATTCAGTTTTTGAAGTGGTTTGTGAGCTGTTTTCCTCTGACCTTTTCTTTTGTCTCCTACACTGCCATGCAGCTTTGACATTATTATTCTATTCAGCACCACAAAACCCGAGGCAGTCCATTTAGAAATCTCTCTTAACATATTAAACTGAATAGCAAATAGATAATTTCAGTCATAACTCACAGCCAATAACAACCTTCCAGAAACCAGACTCTCAGAACCTTTGAAGCATTCCTTTTTAACTACAGAATTCCAGAGGATATTAAAATCAAATTCAGGAAGTTCTGTGGGTGGTAGAGGCGAGGAAGCATTTCAAGGTTGTTCAAAATCATAAATCTAGGCGTGGAGCTGTATTTCAGGTGTGGAGGCAGAATGTGTTACTCCTTCTTGTTCTAAACAGTGGGCAGAAACGACTCCCAGTTACACTGTCTTCTGGGAACCCTCTGTTGTCACAAGACACTGAGAAACAGAAGGCATATGGGGAAAAAGAAAGGAGATGAGAGGAAGGGCACCAATGAAAGACTGCGGAATGACAGACTCTACAATAGTTACATGCTTGCTATATAGAGTATATAACTATTCACAGTCTAGAAAAGAAGTTACAGGGTAGATTATCTGAAAAATAAGTTCTTCTGTTTAAAAAAACCTTAAAAATAAACCCATTCTCCATTAAAATATCTAATAACTCCTTCTGCCAAGATTTAGGTTCATCTGCTTTGTTAGCCAAGTCAAAATTGTCATGAATTTACATGAATCAGCATGACACTGTCCCCTGGGGTGCAATCTTTCTTGAATGTGAAGAATATAGCTGGATATTTACTTTTAAGAGACTATAATTTCTTTATCCTTGATTTTATATATCTTAATCATCTTTCCTCTAAACCCTTCAAAGTTCATCACATAATAAAAATATGGGCTTGGTTCTTACCTATGATTATCCCAGGATCATCTCTTCCATTTTGAATTCTGAGAAAACGTTGAATACACTGCAACAATTTCCAACCTTCACAGGATTTGCGATGGCAAAGCTCACATGTACAGCAGAATGTTAGAACTGAAACTTCTGCCAAGGCACAGACACACGTCTGCCGCTGCACTCTGAGAGCACACATAGTTCCTGTGTGCAGTGTTCCAAGCAGCAGGCAAGGGACCGGCTACATGATTCTGGAACTGCTCACCCACACAAAGGTCATCAAAGGGTGGAGAGTGGAGATGACTTCAATATTTTCAGAAATTTCTTTGGGGAGAGCTTTGCTAAGTCTTACCTTCTCCTTTTAGTGGGTGGTTAGGTATTTCTTTCTTCTTCGGAAATCAAGAGACAGGAGATTCAGCAGATGGCACAGGGAACTTGATATGTGTCCTTTGTGGCTAAGGGGAATGGCTGGCTGGTAACTGATGATTACACGGAAAACCTAAGTGGCAGGACCAGTCTGCTAACTGCTCTGACCACAGGAATGGGGAGGTGGCTGTGCTGCCTCATCTCTCTTTCCAGTATTTCCTGAGCAAGAATACTGAGAATATTTGTGGGACATGCAGGGAAAAGCTACCCCAGATGTGGGACATACAAGGGAAAGCTACCCTAGATTCTGAGACTGTTACTAGGGTCTATTTCTTTCTCTCTTTTTCTGTTTCTCAGCATAGCTTTTCTCAGTCCTACTCTTTATAATGCCAGAATGATTGCAATTGTTCCCTTGAGCAAATTCTTCTAGATGGAACAGATGCCCATGTGAGTAATAGCAGAGTCATACAAGAGGTGGATGGGTGTGGCTGCCAGGTAGGCCAGCTATCAATGGTCTAGACACTTAGCATTCCTCTAGTTCTTATGTTACATAGCAGAGCTCTAGACTCGTTCAGCCTACATTTGCTATTTTGTATCCATTGACCTGGCTTTTTCATGTCACCCTGAGCTAGGGTTTTATTATAGCCGCTATATTATTCTCTTCTTATGTATATCTGAGTCTTTGTTAAAGCTTCCAGAGATAAGTGCAGTCATGCAGTCTAGCTTGCTTCATAAAATTATAAGGTCATCTAGGTCCATCCACTTGGTGGCAAATGACAAGAGGACTCTCATTTTAAGGTTGGAGAACATTCCATCATATATGATTATAATACACATATGCAATATAAGTCATCTCTCTGTGATATATAGAGAAATATAAAGAAAATATGACACATATATGTGATATGTACACGAGCCATGGTCTATACATGGACACTTAGTTTATTTCCACAAATCTTACTACTGTAAATAATGATATAATGAACACAGGAATGAAAGTATCCTTCCAGCCTGGAGGAGTGTGCAGCTCCGGTGGATATATACACAGCAGAGGGTCCTTTCCTCACACACCCTTGTCAACATTTGCTAGCTCATCTTGGTTGTTGTTGTTGTTTAGATAGGATGTTACTGTTGCCAAGGCTGGCATTTACTATCATTCTGACTCACTTTGCTAAATCCTAGGATTATGGACATGTGTCACCAAACCTGGCTTTCTTGTGTTTGACAAAGCAGTGCTCACTGGTGGAAGGTAATCTCTCATATTGGCTTTACCTCCTTAGCTCAGTCCCACTTTGGAAAAGTTACTGTAAATGGGACTGTTCCTTAGCTTCTCTTTCTCTGTTCAGATTTGTGTAAAGAAATGTTACTGATCCTTATATATTGGTTTTGAAACTAGCAATGTTACTGGCTTTCTATTTGGTTCTAACATATTATTTTTGGTAGGACTTTTGACCTATAGAATTGTAGCATTTGCAAATGACAATAATTTCACTTCCCTTTTTTCTGATTTTTGCTGTTTTTATTTCTTTTCTTTATCTGATTGCTTCTGCTAGTACTTCTGGTGAGATGTAGAATGGAAATGATAAACTGACATTTCTGTCTTATCCAGCATCTTGGCAGAAAAGGCTTCTTTTGTTCTCCACCGAATGTGGTGCTAGCTATGACTGCTTCTTGACCAACAACTCCAAGGGAAGTTTCCCAGGCCACCTCAATGCCGTGAGTGGGCGAGCTGCCCTTGAGAGTGTGCTGCCGTGCTCACAATAGCCTGCTACCTAGGGGTGAGAGTGTGCTACAGTGCTCACAATAGCCTGCTGCCTTGATGATGGAAACTAAATCCTGAAAGTTCCAGGATTGTGATCTCTGAAGAAAAGAAAGCGATTTTTTAGGGTCTTCTTAGGATTTTTAAGTGGTGAGAGGTCTCAGAGGTGATCTGTGTTTCTCCTTGAAACAAAGCACTAGATTTTCCCTTAAAATCGATTTCACTTCCGCCCTTCTAAAATCGTTTAACTCATCTGATAAAGCTGATGCCAGCAATTTGTGAATCAGCCCCGATTCTTCCTCCACCTCACTGGCCTTGCAGGTCTTTGAACCTCTTCAGCAATCTTGTACCCCGTGTTTTCTCGGATGCTGGAAATTGCCCAGAATGGCTTTCCCTGCTTTTCACTGGGAGACTCCTCATTCTTCAAATATCTTAAATGATTCTAATGATGCTAAGATCTCATAAATTACATCATCTAAAATACTGTGATACCATGATGCTTTATTAGAGTGACTTTTCAAGTGATCTTATCTGAATTTTCTCCGTCTTCAATTTGAAATCATATTTGGTACTTTATCATCTGTCTTCCCAGCTAGAATTTAGAGATCAGGGAGGCTTTTATTTTGTTTGTTGTGCCATTCCTAACACCCGGTGCAATCTTTGGCGTGTAATAGGTGGTTAACATATAATTTTTAAATTTTTTATATGTTATCTGTTTGTGTATACAAATGTTTGTGGAGGTTAGGATTCTTCTGCAATTACCCTACCCTAATGCTCTGAGACAGTCTCTTACTGCACCTGAAGCTCACAGATTCTGATACAATGGTTGGCCAGCAAGCCCCAGAGATCCCGTGTCTCCACCACCTACTGCTGCAATTAGAGGTGCAATGCTGTGGCTGGGATTTTATATGGGTCTGGGGATTTGAACTCGATTATCTCCTTCTGCTTGTGTATCAAGCATGTTACAAGCTGAGTCATTTCACCAGCACAATGCATTGAGTGAGTGAAGTGGTAGTGTGTGCTTTCCTGAAGTGTTTGTAGCTGCACCCCCCCCCAGCACTGTTTCATGATCAAATAAGTTTAGAAAATTTAAATGTAAATAATTTTAAGTGGGTTTCTTTACTGTTGATTGTTCCTGAGGCTTTAGTATACATTTAGATTACCCACTGTTAGTGGACTATTAATCCCTGAATAGGGGATATGCTTGTCTCTTTCCTTCTTTTCGATTTGATGTTTCTGTTTTGAGGGGAGTAGCTCCAAGAACGGTTGCTCTGTGGCCTGCAGTTCAGATGGTTCCGTGCCAGGTCCTTCCTTTATAGGTAGAGACTGAGGATCAGGGCAGTCACTGGTTTACATAAAGTTGTACTGTGGGCTTTTGCAGGAGACAGGTCATTCATGAAACTTTAAACATTTAAGACTGCCTACCACATTTTTACATGATGAGTCAGACCAACACAGAAAGCCGAGCATGATGTAAACTACAGATCAGCATTCGGAATAAATTTGTCCTCCTTTGGAAATTTCCATTTTTGATTAAAAAAAAATACCACAACAAAAAACTTTCAGATGCTACAATTTACAAATGCTGCCATACCTCCACCCACACCCAGACCAAAACAAAAACATAGACAATTTTAGTTTGCCCCGACTGTCCGGGAGGGCAAGGAGTGGGGCAAGAAACATCCAAAGGGAAGTCTGACCCTGGCTTCCTCACTTGATTGCTGTGCTTCCGCGAGAGCTTCTCCTTGTGGCAACGGATGAGATCGTCTGTGGCTAGACTGTGAGGTCAGCGTCAGCGCTGGGAATTGGCGGAATGCCAGGGAGAAGTGCATGGCCTCCTGCAGCTGAGGGTTGGAAACCCCTCTCATCTGTAGAACCTGTGTGACATTGAGCACACCACACTGGACTTCTCAAAGCCTCTTTTCTCACCTAAAACTGGGATTACTGTTACTCCCCCTTACAGAGCCAGCTGTTGAGATGGGCGGTGATAATTGCCGCTCACCAGCAAGCATTCTAAATGTTACTATTTTAAGAAAAAAAAAACCCTAATGAGTGTTGGAAAGATCAGTGAAAAGTCAAAGAAGGTTTTAAGATTTCAAGATTGATTGAAAATCCTCTTGTGATGGTACACTAAAGTTACAAGTCATGGCTTCTAACTTAGAGTTGAATATTTCATATAAAAAGAAAACACAGTCTACACTTAGTTCCCAACCCATTTATGATGTAGGATTTCCCTCTGTATGCTGTGATTACCATTAATGAATAAAGAAACTACTTTGGACCTCTAACAGGGCAGAACTTAGCTAGGCGGGGAAAACTAAACTGAATGCTGGGAGAAAGAAGGGCAGAGTCAGGGAGAAGCCATGGAGCCACTGGGAACTTTACCTGGTAAGCCACAGCCACGTGATGATATACGGATTAATAGAAATGGATTAGATTAATATAAGAGTTAGCCAATGAGAAGCTAGAGCTAATGGACCGAGCAGTGATTTAATTAATACAGTTTCTGTGTGATTATTTCAGGTCTAAGCTAGCTGGGAGGCCAGAAACCAACAAGTAGCCCCTTCGTTACAAAACATTTACATCTCAGTCACTTAGGGTTTTATCTGTAGAAGTGGAATAAGACTCTCTGAGTTGGCATGGCATAAACACACTCTGAGACCTTGACTTGATGACAACATGTATGGTTAGCATCTTGCATGGTATGCTTGGCAAAACAGCCATAGTTTGATCTTTTTCAGGTTGGATTTCATCTGTTAGGATGGCTTTATAGAGGGTAACTGTACTGGGTCTAGGTCATACTGGTTTTGAAAGTTCAGAGTGTGTAGTAGGGTCATTTCTGTTTTGACAGGTTGAGAGTTTAATATTGAAAGTCTCAAGATTTGCCTCGTTTTGTGGTGTCTTGTTCCATACATCTACTATACAGTCTTTACCCAAAGACTGAGGGAACAGGATGCAGATTGTGGAACTCTTAGTCCCTGACTTGCAGCCCTTTTCTCAACTTACAATTCTATGCACTTGATACAGCCGGGCATCACAGCCCAGTTCTCTCCAGTATGGTACCCTTGTGGCCATGGATTTTGATATGTTTGCTCAGTATCTGATAGCAAGCTTTGCCAAGTATTCTTAGGCCCACTTTGTTTCCTTGCTCTCATAGGTTGTCTGTGACTCATCACTGCACAGTTATTTCATATGTCTTGTCAAATTTTAGAACTGTTTTTTCTCCATATTTTTTGACTAAAAAATTTACTTTTCTTTTTACATACCAACCTCAGTTCCTCCTCCCTCCCCTTCTCCCACCCTCCCACCATTCCCTTTCCCATCCCCCATCCACTCCTCAGAGGCTCCCACTTGGTGAG